CCAGTTTTAAGGAAAATGCAGCCTCGTGGGGTCCGGGTGTTCCTTGTGGGGCCCAAAGCCTGGGCGTCTGGACTTAACAAATAAACAGTTTCATCGTCTTCATTCTCCTCTGACTCTGGGTCAGACTCTGACTCCAACATGTGAGGCTGGATGAACAAGTCCTCTGTTGTTGACATCTTTTAATCATTTCTAAATAAAAAGTTTCTGCACCGCTATATTGTAAACTCCTCCATCAAGTTAGAATGAACCGGTCTGGAAGCTGGAGGGGGGCGGGGTGTGAAGCGCCTTGTTTGGATTTAAAGAGACAGCGTCAAAACGAGTTGCTCTGAGACACACCTTCAGTTAAAGGGGTGAAAGAGGGGCTTGTGGAGTTACAATTAGGAGGGATTCAGACCAAAGCAGTTCCACTCTGCCCCAACTGAACGATTTAAATGTGAAGAAGGAGGATTTTAAAGTATATGTCCACTTTAAGGTATTTTTACATTTACTTAGTTATTTTTTTTCCAAGTACTTGTACACCTCTGGTAAACAAAAACTGCTTTTATTAACATTTGATGTTGTTCAGAGCGAGTCTAAAAGAGTGTGTGACTAATACAAGTTTATTTGCGCCACTCTGAGGCAGCTGCAGGTGTTTAAATCTAATCGCCGACAACAGGAGCAAAGGAGGAAACAATGGGAGGAATGACTTTTAGTCCTTGTAACCATAGGTACTAGAAAATATTTAGGGAAGGGGACTGTTGCTATTTAGGAGGCATGCAGTAAACAGCCCACAGAGAGGTATGTGCTTCTGTTGAGTGTGGAGGATGGATGTGTGTGTGTGTAATGGACAGGAAAAACCCTCTCGGTCCAACACAAGCTGTCACATCACACACTCAGCAGCTATCAGCTGGCCCACCGATCTATTTTAAACTCTTTTATTTAAAGGAGCACTGATCCTCTCCCAACGACTGATGGGGCCCAAACTTATTGTGGCTCCGGCTGAAATGCGTCCAGTATTTGATTTATTTTGCTGTAAACAGAGCGGCACCTGTCACAGCCAGGCGGCCCCCGTGGAACGTACTGACCCTCGGCTGTGGGAGGGGGAGGAGGATTACTGGCCTCTGCAGGAAAAGTCCTGTGCAGTCAGAAAGGTCAGAGTGGCACCAGTTTGAGGAGGTGACTCAAACAGTGAATCTGACTTCTGTTTCCTGCCTCCTTAGATCAAATGTTTCTGAACTTGTCAGCTGTTGAGCCACAAAATAAGAGTAGAGACTTGTTGGGWGGTAAACATTCAGGTCAAATAAACAAGAACATAGTAACAACATTCATTAGTTTTCTTCATTTTTAAGCACTAACCTCACTGTTTTGTGACATGAAGCACAAAAAAAGAGTTATTAGTCATTTTAAAATCTAATTACTTCTAAAAATCTTTTCAAGACCCCGCCTTGATGTTTTAGGACCCACAATGGGGACCCGACCACAACTTAATTAAATGATGCAGCTGACTGAAAACAACCAAATACAACAAACTGAGCTGGAACTAAAAGTCCTAATTTCAGTTTCATTTCATTTTACCAAAGAACCAAATGTCAAAAACAAAAGAAAAAAAGCGAAATAACTTGTGATATTAAGTTAACCTTTAGCCTCTTTATGTGTGACTATCATCAAAA